GTCTAAAATATTAAATCAATAAATTAACATCACAAGGTTTCTTTTATTATATTGCCTTTATAATATAACATCCGTGTATTGTCAAAATTGTTATCTTGCTGGGGCCCCAGAGGGTTAAAATAAATCATGTAGGCCTACATGTATTTGTATCTCTAGGTTTCACAAGAATGTGTTTATTATCCTCCCGAATGTAGTGGGCTCATTACAGCAGGAGTCTAAAATCAAACTGGTCATGTTTTCAAATTTGATGAATTATTTTTAGAGGGGATTATATTATATATCTTCTAAAACCGCTTTCTAACTCTTGAATTCTATGAAACCTTTGTGTAACTGTAATGAGTGGATGGAGAGATGGATAATTCTGTAATGAGTGGATGGAGAGACGGATAATTCTGATGTATTTGTGAGTCTGGAGCTGGGCTAATTGGGTGGCTATTTTCGTATATTTAAACCCGATTTAAACCCCCTTTAAATGTTGCCTTTATTGTTATTACTATCTATTGTTGTATTATTAACAACATCTTTATAGTTATTTTTTTAAATTATCGTTGTCATTACATGTATTATGTTATTTGTATAATTATTATGCATATTATTGCCAAGGCCAATGTTATTTTTATTCTTGTAAGTTTTTGTTGTTTTATTTTATTTTATGAATTAAAAAAAAAAAATTTTTTTTTTTTGGGGGGGGGGGGATCGTAAACTGTTCGTTGTTCATGTACCACATATAATTGCACAGGAGTGTTATTATAACGAGGTAGAGTATGTCGAGTAGGTGGTTGGCGGGTGCTCTGGTGTGGTTTGCTCCTTCTTTCCTATCAAAAGTCTATCGTTCAAGATTATCTCTCCACCTTTTTTTGTGTATGTTACTCTCTTGTAACACCTGTAATGTTCGGCACTTTTATGACCTTATTGTGTTGTAAGTGCCCTAAAACTCTTACTAAAAAAAAAGAGTTTGTTGTGAAGTCTCAGGTCGCATCTCTTTGTTTCTTTGTCTACTGAAACAGTGCGCTGCCGAGACAACACCCCCCCCCCAAAAAAAACAAACAAACAAACAAACCAACAAAAAAAAAACCCAACAGCAACAAAAACTACAAAATAAACCCCAAACAACCCACCTTTTATGATTAGTGGATGTGAATCGTTCAATACAGAGCACACATATTTTGGAAGCTCCCATGTAAATTGCCCAGTGTAACGTTTTATCGGTGAGAATCGATCTAGCACTGTCTAGCACCTGTGCTCTTTTCTTTTTTCTCCCCCCCCCCCTTTCTTTTTTGCGCAACGTGGGTGGTTGGCGGGTGCTCCGGTGTGGTTGCTTCTTCTTTCCTGTCAAACATCTTTTGTCCTTATCTCCCTTTCTTCTTTGTTTATGTTTGTTACTCTCTTGTAACAGCTCTGATCTTCTGGCCCTCATATGACCTTATGCACTTGCGAGCGGCGTAAAATCTCTACTAAACTAAAAAAAACATAATTTTGGAAGGTCATGTAAATTGCCCAGTGTAACGTTTTATCGGTGGGAATCGATCGAGCACCTTCTAATGGACGGTTA